AAGCTTACTGGAATAGTGGTAAGGGGAAAACCATTGTCAGTAGCTCATTTCTGTCTTTCTGACAAGAAATACAGCAATGCCTTACTTACAATACTACAAAAGTATTTGCATAAAGAAATGAAATTTTTTTGTTCCAATAATTTTAATTCAATTATGAAGTGTAAAAATATGTCAGCTTTGTTGTCATTCAATTGGGGCAATATTATAGATGAAGCTAAATGTTATGCTCCAATATTGTATGCAATTCCAACAAGATGCATAAGAAATGACCAATCACCAGTTATAATTGGATTTATTATATCATTAATATGCAATGCTCACTGGAATTACATGAATCTTCCTCAAAGATTAATTTCTCTAGTTTTACATGCTGGACACTACTCAAAAAAGGTGCGACTTATATGCTATAATAATAATTAATGTTGTTATCATCATTAAGCTTTTGAAAGGCTAAGCAAGTTGAAAATTTGTGTTTCTCATAGCACTACACAAAGGATGTTAAAATTATTAGAGAAAGATTATGATGTTAATGCTTTTGAATGGAAACATAGCATTGAGAAAAGTTTTTGATGGATAAGGTACTTATTGCATTAATATAATTTTAAAAGTTTATAGAATTACATAGGACAGCACTGTTTCACTATTGCCTTCAAGTACCTGTCTTGACTTATCTTGTCATGAAAGCTATGATGAGAATGTCAGTGTTATCAGTAATGATTATAATGAAACTTGTAGTGGTGATAGATTTGAAGATTTCAATGAAGGAAATGCATGCATTAGGCTCCTACTTTAGTTCTAATCATTACAGATTCTGATATTGAACCTCCAACTTTTTCTCCAATGACTGATGTAAGCATTACTGATGAAGAGGACTTTGATTCCCAAGATGATAATACAATGGAAAGTGAAAGTCTGGAATCTTTCTCCGTTGAACGGTATGGTGGTGCATCACAGAGAAGTGATCAAGTTGTTAATGATGATCAAGGAGTTAATGTAATCTACAGTGATAAACTTGTTGGAGATAATATCGACAAAGATGTTAAGCCTAGTCATGTACGATCTGATTGGCAAAACAAGTCACTGCATTATTTTCAGTCATATGCAATTCGCGATCGGATAAACACGTCAGATTTATTGGAAACTCATGATGCTCCTACAGAACTGTTTATCAATGATTTTTTAGCAACAGAAGAAGATTATGATCAGTTGAAATCATCTTTTGTCATATTAGTGTCACGTATGATCTTATGTAGTAACATGGCTTTTTTTAAAAAGAATTTTTCTAAAGTGGTAGTTAACCACATTAGTCACAAATACTTCAAAGAAATGTCTCAACTCTCCCAAATTGTAAGATTACATTTTAAAGTTTATATTCTATTGCTCATTGCAGGTACCTCTAGGTGTGCAATTAAAAAATGAATCAAAGTATGAAGATATGGTTTCAATAATAGAAGATTTACATAAATATGTACCTATGAATGTGCATGTGAAAAAGGTTCAATTTGAAGGAAAGGAAGTTGAAGAAGAGGAACAGCAACTTTATCCATTGTGTGTTGGAGGAGATCAGTTATCTGTGGCCAGGTATAGAGGGAGCAAAATAATAAGAGGGAATTCTACTACTCCATCAAAAAGATTAGAAGGCCTTGTTGGCGTGGCAGAAGATTGGCATTCTCAAGTTGTCTTTCTTAAGGCTGTTTGGGTAAGATTACGTCATGGAAACTCAAGTAGGGAATGTGGAACTTTACGCCAAATCTAGAATGCAATTAATAGGAGAAATGTTCCTAATGAGCCAAAAGAAAATTTTAGTGGGTGTGAAGATTTCTTTCTGATTGTCGTTACTTGTAGTATTCTTAATGCAGCCATGCATTTTTTTGCCATGACAACTATTAATGAAGTACCTTCTTGTAATGAGATTCCTGAAGACTTATGGTTGAAATATAATGATGAGCTAAAAGACATTTTACTCAATGTTTCTAAGATTATAGTTGACAAAATGGTGGACCTGTCCCTTACTTTTCAAGATGATAAGAGAACTTTAATGGATCATATACTAGAATATTCCAGTGATGTAGTATCCCTTGGCCTTTTATATATGCATTATAGGGATTCCATCAAAGAGGGAGATGGACCGAGAGTCATATTATCATGGAAGTACATGCTATTGCTATTTAAAGCAACAAATAGAAATAACTATGCTATAGAAGCAGTTCACACCCTAGCTAATATAAAACTACTACCTCCTAGACTGTCACACCAAGTGATATGGTCTAGATTTGTTAATACACATGGAAAAGGTATTCCTGGTAATGATATACCTTGCGATCTCCATATGGAGTATCTCAATAGAGTATGCAAAGAATATGTACGACATCTTGGTGCAAATAAGACTGAAAAGGTAATAGTTCGCTACAGTAAATGTATAGGGCCTTTAGAACACATTTTGGAAAGTTATGACAGTCGGCATGGATGTGGGCTTACTTCTAATGCACATACAATAGCATCTAGTAAAAAAAGATCAGGAATTGATAACGCAGGAGCTTGCAAAAGCAGATATTTTTGCTGATGTTTCTGGAAGAATGTACCACTCCTTTGCTAAATATGAATGTAACCCTGCTAGATCTATGAAATTTGAAGAGTTTAATAATTGGCTAACTTTACTAGTTGAAAGATTATACTCAGGATGTAAATTGGTAACTAAAAAAACTTAAGTCTTAACTAAAACAAAACATACAACTTTTATTATTTTTTATAAAAATTAATACACAATGATTAATCACACAACTGAATGCTGCTGGTAGCAGTAACATATTCAACACATTGACATCTAATTAGAGAACAAACATCACAACATGCACATTGATTATTTTCTATATAAGTATGAAAATCTTTGAATAGTACACTTCTTCTACATTTAGTCTTATTTTAACAATAAACTAGCATTTTTTATCAATAAATCATTTCAGTCCTTTACCAACAAGCGTAACAGTGTAAAAATATTCCTATAATTGATTTCACCACCTTGCATGTACAGCTGGGTTCTTATTAAGACTTATGAAGGTTCTCTCTACCTTCTACTGCTTCTAGAAAAGTCTTTAGACAGTATCTCTATGTTCTTTCGCAGTTAGAAAGCTCATAAGTTTGTTCCATGTGCAAACCGCCATTTTGTTTGCCGTGACCACGCCCACTTACGTAGCATGGGTGGGTGGTTGCTAAGGCTTGTTATTTCTCAAATACAACGTGTATTGAAGAAATGTAAGTGTTGACATACAATCAAATATATATGTATCACACGTGGGTAAAATCATAGGACAACCTGGGGCGTAGCCCCCAGGTCGTAAAAAGTAATATGCACTGTGACTTTTGACCACTCCTGCCACATCGACCAGTTTGTTGAATATAACTTTCAACATCATTAGGTGGACCCCAATGAATTACCCTTTCAACACCAGCACAATCTACTCCCATCCCACAAGCAGCAGTGCATATTAGTACTCTGACTTTGGAGTCAGATTTAGTGATTTGAGAGGCAATATTGTCCTTCACTAAATCCTCTGTACCTTTACAAAATACATCTACCAATCTGTTTTGCAACATAAAAGGAGGAGATACAATTGGATCTAGTAGATCATCAGACATTTGAGTACGAAATAGCTGATACAACTGCCCACAATGCCACTGCTGCTGACAAAAAATGATTGTTCTTCTAAAGTTGGTTCTTTTTAACTGCAATGACTGGATGAGTGGAGTAAATGTTTCATGCATTGACAATATTTTTTGAACTCCAAAGCAAAGATTTTCCTTATTTGGAGAAACACTTACTATTTCTGGTCTTGCCATACCAGTATCATGTATGATGTGAGACACTAGTGTGTCAGATGCAGTGGCAGTAAGTGCCATAATGTTAACCTTGGGCACTATACTACGAAGCTCTGATAAATATGAATATTCAAGTCAAAAATCTTTGCCCCTACACATTAATCACATTATGGCTCAGCATGAGGCTCAAACTTACCATGTCCGAACGCAATGAGCTTCATCTATAACTAAAGCTACTAGCCTTTCTTGATATACATCATTTCCTAGCATTCGTCTCCATTTCTGCTTAACCAAGAATGTTTCTGGACTTACAAAAACAAGCTGGTACTCTCCTTTTATTATGCTGTCCTCATCTTCACAGTCACCAATACATACAGCAGTTAAACCTTTCGACAAAAAATTTGGTTTTTCATTAAAGCAATGAGAGGTAAGTCAACAACTGCAATGGACCCTTGCCTTTTCTTTAAGAAATCAAAAACTAGTGGCAGGCTGGCATAGCAAAGGCTTTTTCCATAACCAGTGGGTGAAATAACAAAGACATCCTTCTTTTGTAGGAAGATAGTAATGGCTTTCTTCTGTTCTTCCTTAAAGCTATATAAACCAAATTTCGTTAAAGATTCCAGCAGGGCTGAGTTGACAGAAGCATCATCAAAATAGCTAGATCTACAGCCAGCCATTTTATAATACATTTATGAAAGTTGAAGTGATGCTTCCTATTTTACGGATAAATACCTAATTTATATGGGCTTCCATTTTTGGCTGCAAAAGAATAGTTTCAGTAGGGAATGAATCCAGACCCTTCCTCACGTAGTGGGTTGGGTCTGGCACAAGAGACTACTGTGGCACCTACCTCCTCCAAATGACAGGAAAGGGATTCAAATCTTGCCACAGATAAAGAGCCTGAGGCTGATGTCAGTGATATAGAAAGGCAGGAAGTAGCTAGTGAGCTAGAGCTATGTGACACAGGCAGTAGCCCAAAACAACAGCATACAAATGAGGATGATGTTCCTTCAGATATACATGTAGCTACTACAAAAAATGACTCACCTTGTCAGCCTAAACTATCACAATTTCCATCTCGTATAATATCAGGTAAACAAAGATCATTTAATTCATCCTGGTATAGTTACAATTGGCTGGAATATTCAGTTCAAAAGGATGCCTGCTTTTGCTTTCCATGCCGTATGTTCCATCTTGAAGCTGGAAATTCAAAGGATAAATTTATGAAACAAGGATTTCGTGATTGGAAGCACGCCACTGGTAAATCTGGAATTCTCTATGTGCATGACAGGTGTGCATCCTACAAGCAATCAATGGAGTCTTGGTCCCAATACAAGCTTAATACTCAGCTCGGTACTTCAATTTCAGCCAGGATGGAGTCAAATCACTTGGAGGTGATTAGTACAAACCGTCACTATATTAGAAGCTTGATTGAGATTCTTCTACTTTGTGCACATCAGGAAATAGCTCTCCGAGGACACAGAGAAGGCACTAATTCTCCAAACAAAGGCAATTTTCTGGAAATTTTAGATGTTGTTGCTTCACATGATCCTGCTATTCAACAAAAGCTAGTCAGTGGTCCTCGAAATGCTTTGTATACCTCTCCTGAAATACAGAACTCACTCTTGAGTATTATGGGTAAGATGGTACGTGAGGAAGTTTGCTACAGAACCAGGAGTGCTGGTCTGTACTCTATATCAGCTGATGAAACAAAGGATATCAGCAAAACAGAGCAGATGGCCCTAGTTATCAGATATTTTAATATTAAAAAGGGAACTATACATGAAAGATTTCTCACATTTGTTGAAGCATTTAGTCTAAATGCTAAGAGCCTTGCAGCATATATCCTTGATACACTTAAGAAATATCAACTTGATACAGGGTCTCTTGTATCACAAGGATATGATGGGGCTAGTGTCATGTCTGGCAAATTTTCAGGAGTACAGCAACATGTGATGCAAGTTGCACCACAAGCCATCTAAATTCGTTGCTTTGCCCACATATTGAACCTTGTTCTTGTTGACTGTGCCAAAAAGATCAACTCTCTGCTAAATTTTTTGCACTCCTTCAGTCTTTATAAGTCTTTATTTCTTCAAACAAAGCACATGTGATTTTTGTAGCTCAGCAAGCAAAGTTACACCCAAGTAAGCCTAAGAAAGAATTGCAGAGGTTATCTGGCACAAGATGGGCCTGTAGGTATCTTGCTGTTAATGCTGTTTGTTGCACATTTGATGTAATATTGGCCATACTTACAGAGATTGCCAATAGTACTGCTTACGATCCACAAAAAGCAGTTGAAGCTCAAGGCTTGTTATTGCAAGTAAAATCATTTACCTTTTTGCTCCACCTGATCATTTTTTATAAAATTCTTTGTTGCCCAAAAAAGTTCTCAGATCTACTACATCATCAATGTAATCTGGCAAAAGCAGCTGATTTGGTGTCTTCCACAATAGAAACCTTGGACAAATTAGTGATCATTATGGGGATCATTTGTATGAATATGCAGAGCAAGTTGCTAGTCTCAATGAAATTCCTATTAATAAGCATAACAGAAGAAGCCAAATACTTCAAAGATTTGATGAGAGTGTTGTACTGAAATCTATAGGCCAAGAGACACAATGTCTACCAGCAGTGAGTGGAAGAAAACCATTTTTTTCCAGTACTAGACACATTTATTGTTGAGCTTAAGCAATGCTTCACATCCAGGAACATGAGCATTATGAAGGCAATCCAAGTGTGTGATCCTAAAGCAGATAAGTTTTTTGATCCAGACGCTCTTTTACCGATTAGCAATAACTATCAACTAGACCATGCAATGATTTCAATGGAAGTTGTACTTGCTAAACAAAGCCTATCATCAAAACCTAATATTGAGGGCATTAGTCATGCATTAAAGGAGCTATATCCCCTCAGAGAAGCTTTCCCAAAAACTGCTACAAATTGCTTTGACGGTATGTGTCAGTTCAGCTCAATGTGAGCGTTGCTTTTCAGCATTAAAAAGAATCAAGACTTATTTGAGATCAACAATGTCAGAGGAAAGATTGGTGGACTTGGTTTGTATTTCCATTGAAAATGATATCTCCACTAAACTTAATATAGAAAATGTCATTGACAAATTTGCAGCTCAAAGTAGAAGAATAATGTTGTAAACTACTATTACAAAAAATATTGATCATCTTGTTTGACTGTTTATTATTATTATTATTAGTAAAAACTAAGTAGTTTTAATTATTTTACTGAGGTCAATTAATTAACAATGTTAATTAATAAATTGACCATGCCTTTATGAATATTTAATTAACCTGTTTAAAAATCACAGCACACTTCCTGCGCCATTGATGCCCTAGTACTTCTTTTTCCCTGGCTATGCCACTGTATCCAACACATGGCATACAAGTGCAGGCATGTAATGTCCTTGCTCGTACCTTTTGGCAGTACATTATACTGTGCATGTGTAGCAGACCACAAGTTGGCAAGACAATGATATGGCAGACAATGCCCCGACAGAAACTAGTCAGACCAGAAATAGGACAAGGACAGTAGACATATGAGAGGCAAAAAGCTAGAGGATGGCATAGATATCATTAAATCTTTGATAACTAGAACTACTGGAGCAAGCCATCCTTTAATCTCTCAAGTACCTCTAAATAGTAAAATGAGATCTGCCCCTCAAATCATAGTCATACTTTCTCTCAAGGTTGTGCCAACTCTCAAGGTCATACAAAATCTTAAGGTCACACAAAATCTTAAGGTAATGCAATTGGACGTGCTAATTAAAGTTAAGCTTGCAGCCGTGCCCTTCAAGCCTTGATGTATGTAAGGCAGCATTTTGATTTTTGATTAGGACAAAAATGAGCAGATAAGAACTGTGAAGTGTTAATCCTCTTGTTGTTTGAATTCCATCAAGGTATACTAATCCAACTGTATATAAGTATAGCTTATACACCGAGGTTGAGGTTTCTGTGATTTATTGACCAAGGGAATCAGATTTGATGCATTTCTTATAGCTAGGGTACACAAGAAAGTATTTAAAAGCCATACTATTAGCAACCAATTCATTTTAAGTCACGCACTAGAATGGAAAAGCAACTAGACATGCTCATCTGTTCTCAAAAGATGCAACTAACACAGCCACCATTGATAGCTCTGGGAACGCCTATTTTTCGTCATAACATGACTGCCCCGCCTACTTTATTAGTGCTACTGAGAGCACAACAATCCCAGCAATCTTGTTTGCAAAGGCTGCATCGGGCAAGGATTTAAAAGATGCGCAAGATCACTGTGAGCCATACACGTATTACTTAAAGCACAGGAAGCAGTGCTGTTATATATCCAGCACAGCACTGCTTCCCTGCTTTAAATGATTTATGGTTACTAGGGGACGTACCAAAAGAACCGCCCTAAACCACATGAACATGTGCTTCAATCTTGGAAAATGGTAGAGAAGAGACCGTTAGAAGTAGATGATACTGGCTGTAGTGACTGTAGTGAGGAGGCGAGGGAGAGCAAAAGAGCCAAGAATGAAAAGCGATTTCCGTCTCCTATCAAGAGTGAAGCTTTACACAAAGCCGCTGAAGCTGTGGTGCCTAATAACACAAAGCAAAGCAAAAGGTGGGCCTTTAATACCTTCCTTACCTGGGCAAGAGAGCGCAACAAAAGATGTCCTGATGAAGAAATAGACGAGACAATTTTTTGCTGTCCAGATGCTGAGCGAGTCTCACACGTACTATGCCTTTTCCCACTTGAAGCCAGGAAGGTAGATGGAGAAAGGTACCCACCTTCCACGTTGAGGAATCTACTTAGTAGACTAAACAGAGAGTTTGTTAAGAATAAAGTTACTTCTGGCATTTTTGATAAATTGTTTTACAGAGCTTCGAAACACTCTAGATTCTGTCAATAGTCAGTTACACTGGGATGGTATTGGTGTTTCTACAAAGCATGCTGAAGTCTTGACTGTGCAAGATGAAGACCTATGTTCGGAAAGAGGAAAACTTGGTGCTTCCTCTCCGACTGTTCTCCAACACACAGTATTCTTCTACATTGGTTTAAAATTTGTGTTGTGAGGTGTTCAGGAACAGTATGACTTAATGATGAGCCAGCTAAAACGGGTACCTGAGGATCTCACTGTATATGATCGTAACGTCTACTATCAGTATTCTGAATATATATCAAAGAATAATGTCCACCGTTTTACTGATGCTAAGATGAAGAACAAAGCTGTTGCTGCATATGCTTAACCAGGTTCTAGTCATTGCCTTGTTTCATTGTCGGACAGATACTTACCTTTGTTACCCTCTGGAACTGAACATGTGTATATGTGTCCTGCGAAGGAATTTCAGCTGACTCACCTGCCTATTATCGACAAAGAGTAGGAATTAACACTACTAAGAAGTTTGTACACTTAATTACTTCAGGGGTTGGCCTAGTTGGTTATACTAACCATTGGGGCGACTGCTATGACCTGTATGTTCAGTAGTGGTGTGCCAGAAAAAGTTATTGCTGATAAATCTGGCCACAGGTCGCTTGATGGTTTACGAGCATATGAGCATCCTAATGAAGAGCTGTATCTGGCTGCAGAGGAAATTTGAGCCTACTAAGAAGTTTGGTTTAGCAGAAGAAAAGAAACCAGTGTAAAAAAAAGAAGAATCAAGTGCTACTTATCAGATTCCAGGACTTACTGGACTCAATAATTGCACAATTAATTTCAACATTTATAATAAGTGAACCAGTGTTTCTTTGATGATTGTACTATTCATTGCATCATTTACTCTAAAAATTGATTATTTCCTTCAGTGTGATTTCAAGTCACACCCACTGTGGACAACTACCATAACAGTATACCTAGTGATAACAGGGATGTTATGCAATATAATGTACTGGCAGCGCCTTTGGTACGCCCACGTAATAGACAATAAAACAAAAAAAGCAATATATGGGCAGAAAATATCTGGAATGACTGGTGCAAGGAAAGAATGAAAAGATTTGGGGAAGCTCCAACCAGACCAACCTTTTTATGAAAAACAGGCAAGTTTTCAATGATTAGATGTCAAAGTTTATCTTAGAAATACATATAATGGATGGGAAACAATATCCACCAAATACACTGTATGCAATTAGATGTGGAATTTTGCGTAAGATAGAAAAAATTGTCCAGATATCAACTTCATCAAAGATTCCAAGATTGATGGCTTTAGGAAGACGTTAAATTCTGAAATGAAGAGATTAAAATCTGCTGGAATTGCAGCAACAATTAAACGAGTCGGCCTGATATCATTTCAAGAAGAAGAGCTGTGGTCCAAAGGAATATTAATAAGCAGTTCTCCTCAAGTAACATTGGATACTATCATTTATATGTGTGGGCTATATTTTGCTTTAGGAAGTGGGCAGGAGCTTTAAGAACTAAAATTCGAACAAATAACTTTTGAAACAGGATCTGACGGTAAAAATGCATCATTTATAGAGAAAATTTATCAAAAAATAATCCAAGAAGATTGAAGCATAGAAAAATTGAGCCAAAAACAGTTTAACATTTTGAAAATAGCATTAATCCATCTCCTTGCTTTGTGTCATTACTACAAAAGTCATTAGTCATTACCCACCCATCAAAGAAAGAAAAAAGAGATGTTTCTATTTGACAGCACTAAGAAAACAAAAAAGTGACATATGGTACTCTAATGTTCCTGTTGGGCATAACACCTTATCAAATACTGTTACAAGAATGTTTGCTGCAACAGGAATTGACAGTTACAAAACTAACCACTCACATCACGTGACTGCTGCTACTAGACTATTTCAAGCCGGTAGTGATGAACAATTAATTATGAAAAGAACAGGTCACAGAAGCACAGATGGTGTACAAATTTATAAGCGTATAAAAAATGAGGATGTTACATCAATATTACAAACAAAAACAGCAGTCGTTAATGACGATATCAATTCACTTCATTCTCAAAAAAGTCACAAAGTATCTCCAGATAAAGAA